TTATCTGTAGATGTCTGTAACCGATAGAATCGAAATTTATTATATACTAATTACGAAAATTGAGTAATTGTCAGGTATTGATGAATCTTCTTAAATTCTTTTAATTACCGAAGAAAGTTTCTTCATAATAATTTATCAAGAAATATAAATGACATGAACAGATGTTTCTTGATGGAATGAAACATTCTATCGTAACGAGATCAATAAGAACTTTTAATTTCTTTAAAGACTGCAGAAAAAAACTGAAGAGTTGTAATTTACAATTAGATGCAACAGCCAATCTGCTTTGGGTGCTCACGTTTTTTAACTGTTTTTTTTTCCTAAAATACATTAAATAATTATCCAATTTAAAAATAAGCAACTTTTAGATATTCAGTCGGATGGCCGAGTGATTAAGGAGGCAACCTACCACTCTGAATGACCCGGAATCGAATTCAGACGGATTGAGAAATTCCTATCAATTTGTCGTGTGTTCTTCGTCAGGACATGTTGGATCCTATCCCTCAACATTCACATTGTGGGTCTGGAGGAACCCTTAAAAAGGGGGCCTCTTAATTCATACAGGGCAGAGTTAAAAAAGCTATTTTGATTATTTAAAGTTTTGGTTAAAAATTGTTATGCTTAAAAGTTAGAAATATATTATTGATGCATGTACAAATAGAATTGGTTAAGTTTTAACATTTGCAGAAAATAAATATTATTATTCGTATTCTGTGAGTACAAATAATGTGGAATTAATTAGATGAATCATAAAGAAATTTTGTAAAATTGTTGCAAATATTGCTATATTTTTTACCTTTTTTTATCCAAATATTCAACAATTATTGCTTACAAAGCATTCCCAATAATTAAATTTGAACGGTTTTTGCTTTGAATATTAAATATATATTTCAAAATTTATAGTGACGGCTTAATGGCCGAGACTGTTACGGTGTCGGCATATTGCTCGGGGAGATATTAAATTGAATCCTTCCGGTCTAAAAGCTCTCGTGATTTTTCCTGAGCAGTCTGTCCCGGATATGTAGCCTCCATTGTGAGTATGGCCAAATCCACAATGGGCATGGAAAAAACACCTCTTTGTGCCCACAGGGCGGGGAGAGTTTTGTCTATATATGTATCATTCAGCGATATTAAATTCACAACTTTTAACCTAAATTCCGATTACAGTAAACTTTTTCATAAATGACGATAGAAAGTTCTCCGGGAGGCATCTTCCTCGGCAGATTATCCACTTGTCTCGTTGTCGTATACAATTAAACAAACAAACAAATACATGAGCGTAAACTTTTACACAAAATAAATTTTTTTCACTCATGAAAAACATTAAACTATTATACAGGGTGATTCAAAAGTCACAGAAATTTTAAAAATTTAATAACTCACAAACTATTTACAGTAAGATGATGCGGTTTTCACAGAAATGCTTAGAAATAATTGGAATTATTTTTATGTGTAATAAAAGTTTTAACACCAAAATAGTTACATTTTAGATGGCGCTTGATAAGATTACATAATTTGTGTAGTTGTTACTAGAGCTTACACTAAAAACATTTTTATTTTTTTATTCTTTATATAGAATTTACAAATTCTACAGCGCTATCTGTGGCAAGAAATGTTTAAATATAATGAGGCCTTACCCACGAAAAAATACCTTATGAGGCCTTACCCACGAAAAAATAAAAATTTAATGTGGAAACAAAAAATTTTTAATTACCGTTTTTCTAGAGCCAGGCGAGTGATTGAAAATTCGTTTGGAATTTTTAGTAGTAGACGGAGAATTTATAGACGACCAATTAAATTAAGTGAGGAGAACATTGACAATGTTATAAAAGCGACAGTATGCTTGCATAATTATTTGCTGATAGGACCAACCAGAAATGAATATTGTCCTGTTGGATTAACCGACAGAAGATTGGCAAGGTAGAGTTGTATCAGGCCAATGGAGAAGTGAAAATGAAGGAAGTAATGGGCTTGATAAGATCAATAGACTTGGTACAAATCATTACTCTCAAAAGTCAAATGACAGAAAATATTTAACAGAATATTTTGTAAATGATGGAGCACTGCTCTGACAGAATACTGTCATAAATTAAATTTTCTGTTATAAAATGTATATTAATTTTAAATAAAATTTTTAATATGTGCAAAAATGAGTTGTTTTTGAATATTGTATATTTTGATTTACATATAAGATATTTGCTGTATAGAAATTTTAAGATTATATATCTAAATAATTTTGCATTTTATAACTGCATATAGGATGTTATCTGTAATAATAATTATATATAGATGCCATTAACTACTTTATAAATAAAGTTTGACCAATAACGTTTATCGAGTTAAAAATGTTCATATAATTTGATGCGATCATAGCTGTCAATTACATTTATTGTTTTTGATTTCTGAGCTTTCACTAGTTTTTTTTTCTCTTGGATCATATATTTAGTGCTATTGTAGTTTTGCAACTGAATCAAATTGCAAAAATTGAGTATTTTTTAGGTTTTACATTTTGGTTCTTTTATATCAGGGGTGGCCAACCTTTTGCATACCATGCGCCAATTTTTTGATAGACGAGTTCAGATGCGCAGTGGCGTACCGTGGGTGTTAGCTGCCCGGGGCGGAGAAAAATTTCGGCCACCCTTTAATCAGGTATTTCAATTTAAAAGATCAAAATTCAGTTGTGTGAAAAAAAAATTAATAAAAAATGCGGTGGTGGTGTAGTTACCCGTACAAAATAGTCCCATTTGACATTAGTGGCATACACGATTGCGAATGTATCGTGAATCGTAGAAGCAAAAAAAAAAAAAAGGTCAACAGGTGTAGCAGTCCAACCGACTCGTGGACTGTCCGGACGGTAGCACTGTCATTTAGACGCCTATGCACTGATCGAAAATAAACATACATGCATACACTGTAATTTACTATGTGGAGAACACTCATTTTATCTGTAAAGTTGATTGCAACGAATTGTGCAACAAATGAACTTGCCAAGACAGACTATAAAAAATTAATTTTCTATGTAATATTCTTAATTGCAAAGAAGCCAAATCTGGCAATGTTGCTCAGAACTGACTAAAGCGCCACTTGTAATCGTCCAATGCGCCAAGTTTGGCGCATGCGCCACGGTTTGGCCACCCCTGTTTTATATCATCTGAACCATATATTTAATCTTCAGGTAAGTTTTTATGATCTTGAGAATTATTGTGGCACGAATTATGAGATAGGTTCAATTATCGATTCTGTACTTTTTATACTCAACCATCATAGATTCTTTTAAAAATTTATTATCTATTACATCCAGATTATATAGCTAATTTTTACAATCATTAAGTAGATGATATAACAATCAGATTAAAGTAATTTCACATCTACAGAAAGTTTACATGGCTAAATGATATGATATCATAGACTGTATACAAGCTTTATATATTTTATCAACTGTCATTCTACTGAAAAACATACAACAACAAAGTGAACTTAGAAAACATACTTTTTATTTAAACAATTTTAATACTAATATAATACAATATAAAATTAAAGTTTCATTTCTTCTTCAAAAACAAGATTTTCAATTTTGTTCATTATCGAAAGCATTTTTTTCCTATCAAATTTTCTTAATCTCACACCAATATTGTTGATGAAATAAAATACTTCATCGTGGTTACTTTCATTCTCTTCAATATATTTTTTTATGCCACTAGAAGTTTCTTTTATGATCTCTGCAAGATCATTATCATCATCATTTCTTTTTCTTTTCCTAAATTATGAAATAAAAACAAACCTTTTAGAGAAAATTTCAAATATTAAAAAAATTAAAAAATTACAATTATGGAACTATATGTATATAACCTTTGAGAGGACTGAAGTGGGCTATGTACAAATGGTAGTGGTGATACATTTGCACTTGCACTTGGTCCTGTTAATTCAGGCATGCTAAAAATATTAAATATATGTAATTTATTAATAATATATTTAAGGACAGTGAAATAACACTTTGATTCAGATTGTAATCTTTACAATTTATATATAATATAAAAATACCTATTCTGTGTGAGAAATTCTGGTAATTGATTGCTCGATTGGTCTTCCAAATCAGAATTCTAAAATAAAAATTAGAAAAATTACATACACATGAATTAAAATTCAATCAGATATTAGTAACCTGAAAATTGTATTAAGTGAGATGTTGAGCATACATTTTTTATTTTTATAGCTACAATTATATGTAAACATTTGATCACCGCAACTTATTCAATATCATTATGATGTGTACAATTTATAAAGAATCATATGCATTGTCTTTAAGTTGTTGGAATTGTCTTTGTACTATTGACAAACAAAAAGAACTTCTACATCATTTTATCAGCAACTTAACCTTAAGCTAGAAATCTCAGTATTTCTTATAATTTAGCTTTTATGTGGACAAAAGACACTAAAGTTATATATATATATATATATTATTATATTATATTATTAGGCCTATATTATTATATATATATAACTTTAGTGTCTTTATATATTTTTATTCATAATCATAATACATTACCATTAATTCACATTTTGATTGAGGCGTGATTTCTGGTATATTCTTGCATGTGCTGCAAGATAAACAATATTTAGTTTTAATGAAAACAAAATATATTAAAATAGTGTTAACTTGTTAAAACTTTCTTACTTTAAGTGTTCATTTCTCAATCCGTCTCTTAGCATATTATCTAATAAGTCGAAATATTTCCAATTTGTTTTGTAAATTTCTGAAGTAGCTGCACCACTTCTTTTCGACTTATTTATATTGTTTTTTAACTTTGTGTATCTATCTTTCAAGTTNGTGTTCATTTCTCAATCCGTCTCTTAGCATATTATCTAATAAGTCGAAATATTTCCAATTTGTTTTGTAAATTTCTGAAGTAGCTGCACCACTTCTTTTCGACTTATTTATATTGTTTTTTAACTTTGTGTATCTATCTTTCAAGTTTTTCCATTTTTTTCTTTTTGGTTAAATTCCAGATACGTATACCGTCATGGCGGCACTTCCTGTTTTGCTGCTAGCCTCGCTCCCGACGCCGTGGCTGTTTGGAGACGAGTGTAGTCACGTGACGGTGCGCGCGCGAACGAAAGACGGCGGCTGTGACGCGAGAAAGGGAAAAAAACAAACGAGAGATCGAAAAAATCGCTCTAAATAAATTATTAAAAAAGAAAAAAAAAGCATTTTTACTCACCGTCGTCGTCGGTCATTCGGCTACTCTAGCACGCTTCTTTCCACCGTCGCGACGGTATTTCCTCTCCTGTTTTTTTTCTCTTGCTGGGGCTGCTTGCTCGCTTCTTCGGTATCGCTTCCGGGGCTGCCGGAACGGTTTCTGGCTCCTTCCATTCGGGCGCGCGGTCCGCTTCCGGATAAATTTTTCGTAAATGTTCGCAAAAAGTTCCGAAACGTTCGACCGGCTTCAGACTTTCCCATTTCGGATGCTTTCTATACATAAAGGCGTATAAATAGGAATCGTGAAGTTCCTCCGTGTAGTGAATGGGCAGATTTTTCCTGTTCTTGAGAATACCCCACAACCTTTCGATGCTCTGCGTATGTACGCCGTCGAGCGGGTTCACAAAATGTTCGGAATGATTTACGGTCGCGTGTTTTATCTCCATTCCTTCTAATTCGCCGATATGGTTATATCCCTTCCATTGGTCGGTATAAATTGTAGATCCGGACCGGACGAACTCGCTAACGACCATATTTAGACTGGCTTCGAAGCGATCGTTTACAAAACACAAAAAACAGTTCTTGTCTTCTCTACAGATTCCGCCGACCACCCACTTAGTAGTCCCTTTCAGCGTCCTCCCTCTTTCGTATTTACCACGCTTGCTTACGACCGTCTCGTCTATTTCCACGGTCTTTCCGGGGCCTCCAATTTTCAAACTCGTCAAATTAAACAGAGAGACCATCATCGCGTGCCGAACGAAATTAGCCCAGTCGATACCGGTAGTGTGACTTACTGCAACAGCCAAACACGAAGACTTCGACGAACCGTCTATGCAAATGAGGTGCCAGACGAAAGCGAGTATCGTTCCCCACGACATCTTACCAAATTTTCCCTCGAAAGTACCTTCGAACGCCGAAGTATTATTAACGTTACACTTGCGACATCGGAAATAAACCGAACTAGTGTCATTTCTGTAACTTATTTTACGAACGAAATCCATTTTTGCGAAATTCGAACTACGCAACACGCAAACCAACTCGTCGAATTCAAAGCGCGCGCACCGTCACGCGACTACACTCGTCTCCAAACAGCCACAGCGTCGGGAGCGAGGCTAGCAGCAAAACAGGAAGTGCCGCCATGACGGTATACGTATTTGGAATTTAACCAAAATTTTATGTACTTACCCGAAATATTAAAAGTAGTTCCTATTGACGTCCAGTACGTGTGTTTAAAAGAAACATCTTTAAATTCTTTTCTGCTTTTGTCATATAGGAAAGGATAATTTTCGACTATTCGAATAAACGCTTCCATATCGAATACCATATCTCCTCTGTTTTTTCCGTTAGTTTTCACAATGAACTTTGTTGAACCGTCCGCCATTAAAACACCACGTAATAGTATTTTCTCACGTGACTACCAGACGAACTGTTATTGGCTGATAGAAACGTGTCTTGGCGGCGGTTGCCGCAAAAGATAAAATTCAACCAACTTTTGCGGCACGAGAAAAGCGGCATAAAATCGACTTCTGCGGAGAGAAAAAGTGACGTCATCCTGCCGCTTTTCCTTGCCGCGCCGCATGTGTGCATCCGGCTTGATACTGTCTGCAAGATAGCCAATAATAGAGAGGTTGAGACGCAAGTTCAAACGTTAAACTTGTATGGCAAACAGAAGTACACGTTTGACGTTTCAAGTCCAAGTAAAAATCGTTGAGCCGCCCGTTCATAACATCACGTGACTCAGTGGACGTCACGCATTGACTCACGGGAAATAAGTTGAAAAAATGGCGGAAACATTTTGCACGGAGGATTACCAGGAAAGGTAAATAAACAAATTAAACTGTTTAAAAGTATTTACATGATGTTTAATAACACTAAATAATTATTTTTTTTTACTATAATTAGCGTCGTGTTTCCTCCGAGAAACATTAGGAAAGTTCCAATGCGTTTTTCTTGTTATCACGACATACTTCTGTTGAGAGAAGTAGTGGCTGTAAATCCCTATGCGTATGAAAATCCGAAAGATTCTTGGAAAAGTATATCTGAAAATTTACGGACGTATTACACCGTCGACGGTAGAAGATGCCGGGAAAGAACAACTTTACTTCTATAGTATTATGACAAGGTAGTAGACGACCATCTTGCCTTCCAGATATATAGTATGTTACAAAAGTGTAAGAACACCACAAATTTGTGATTTTTCAAAATGTATTTAAATTTTTTATTAGAAAACAGTTTTATACGTTTTAAGACAATTACAAAAATATCATTTTCAAGCTTTTTATCTTTTAATAATAATACAATAGAAGTTATCACTTTTTACTTGTTACCAAAATATAGGTACACTTTCTAAAATTACATAAAAACAAATTTTAAATATATTTTAAAACTTTTAAAATTTGGTTTCAACCCCTTTGACTGCAATTATTTGAAAAATTCTGTTAATATGAGTTTGCGGCGACAAATCACGGACTGGTGAGATGGCGCCACTCCTCTACGAGTTTCCCGGGAATCCCGGATAGAAAAACGGGAACTGGGTTTTTCCCAGAGAGAGAATTCTGGGTATTGTTGCTTCTTCTTCTTGTCGGGTGATCGCTGCCATGAGCACGTGTAGCTCTCTTTCAAGTGTACTCGAGGATTGTTGTAAATAAATGTTGTTTTAGTTTAAAACGTGGTCGTGGACTTAACTAATTCACGTTTACAGCCTTCTGATAAAGACAGTCTTTGTGGAGATGTAAATGGATGGAAAAAGACGGCCAGATTTCGTCTAACCGATGGTGGCCATCCATTACCTCCAAGTTTATTACTTTTTTAATTAATTAATATCATTCTTAATTTCATTTTGTGTATCCATTATTGCAATTTTCAATTGATTTACAGATTCATATTGTTTCCCATTTTGATAAACAATGGCTGCTAAAATCCCCCATAAATTTTTAATGGGATCTAAATCTGGCAATTCGAACATGTTGGAAAATTATTTATTAGAAACCTAAGTAATGACTTCTCGTTCAACTTGATATCTTTACAGCCAGAAAAGTCCTGCATTCCATGTGCAACAAAAGAATGCCTTTGCACATGGAATGCAGGACATTAGCAGCAAAATCTCTAGTTGACTTGCCGCTAACGTTACATAGTCCTTGGTCTCAAAGCCAATATCAACGTTCCTGCAAAGTAGGTTGGCCCATCAGTGGCCAAGCGGTTCCGTTTTCTGAACACTGGGTAAACACTGGGAAGTTTGTCACGGGTTCGCTCCTCGCCAGGACAGGCTGGCCACGTGGAGTTTTCCGGGTTTTCTCCACGTCTAACGCCTAAATAGGGTCCAGTTTCCCTTAAAAAGAACTCCCAGAAGGTATTCCCTTAGGCAGATCGTCCAAGTGTTGCGTTACCCAAACAAACAATATATATAATTTTATATAATTATTATTTTTTATAATTAAATAATTTATNCTGCGGCGACAAATCACGGACTGGTGAGATGGCGCCACTCCTCTACGAGTTTCCCGGGAATCCCGGATAGAAAAACGGGAACTGGGTTTTTCCCAGAGAGAGAATTCTGGGTATTGTTGCTTCTTCTTCTTGTCGGGTGATCGCTGCCATGAGCACGTGTAGCTCTCTTTCAAGTGTACTCGAGGATTGTTGTAAATAAATGTTGTTTTAGTTTAAAACGTGGTCGTGGACTTAACTAATTCACGTTTACAGCCTTCTGATAAAGACAGTCTTTGTGGAGATGTAAATGGATGGAAAAAGACGGCCAGATTTCGTCTAACCGATGGTGGCCATCCATTACCTCCAAGTTTATTACTTTTTTAATTAATTAATATCATTCTTAATTTCATTTTGTGTATCCATTATTGCAATTTTCAATTGATTTACAGATTCATATTGTTTCCCATTTTGATAAACAATGGCTGCTAAAATCCCCCATAAATTTTTAATGGGATCTAAATCTGGCAATTCGAACATGTTGGAAAATTATTTATTAGAAACCTAAGTAATGACTTCTCGTTCAACTTGATATCTTTACAGCCAGAAAAGTCCTGCATTCCATGTGCAACAAAAGAATGCCTTTGCACATGGAATGCAGGACATTAGCAGCAAAATCTCTAGTTGACTTGCCGCTAACGTTACATAGTCCTTGGTCTCAAAGCCAATATCAACGTTCCTGCAAAGTAGGTTGGCCCATCAGTGGCCAAGCGGTTCCGTTTTCTGAACACTGGGTAAACACTGGGAAGTTTGTCACGGGTTCGCTCCTCGCCAGGACAGGCTGGCCACGTGGAGTTTTCCGGGTTTTCTCCACGTCTAACGCCTAAATAGGGTCCAGTTTCCCTTAAAAAGAACTCCCAGAAGGTATTCCCTTAGGCAGATCGTCCAAGTGTTGCGTTACCCAAACAAACAATATATATAATTATTATTTTTTATAATTAAATAATTTATTTTTATATTTTTAAATTAATAATTTTATATAATTATTAATTTTATATAATTTTATATAATTTTAGAACGATCGTTATTACTTGCCATCTGATGAGAAATATTTAAAAATTCTGATTTGTAATATACTGCAAATTGAATAATATAAATTATCTTTAGTTAATTTAACTCGTAATGACTAATATGTCACACATTATATTCTACAGCCACTTTCTAACCAAGACAATTTTAAACATGAAATTTTTTTAAAATAAATGTGACTCTTTGATAGTAGTTCTTCCTGTTCATTATTTCGATAGTGTCAACTATCGAAAGTTGAGTTGCAAGATTCTGGACAGACAGATGCGAGGACAAACCAACCAAGTGTAGGAATAAATCGTCTGGACGTACGATTTCCCGCCCTTTTCCTGTTTTCAAACGACCAACGGACGTCGTCAGGGAGACGTGGATCCAGTGATGTCAGTAGTTTTGAAACTCGACCGCGGATTGGCTAGAAAACATCGTACGACCAGCGGACGTCCGATAGCACTACTAAGCGCTGATTGGAGGACTTACATTCGTTTCAATCCGTATAAAAGAATTGAATTGGGCGGGAAGTTCAATCCGACTAGGACATATCTAAGGAACTCAAGTTTGTTAAGCTTCTCCTAAGCTTACCTAGAAGGTTGGTTTCGTCTCGCTGTGCGGTAACCAACATACGTCGCAAGGAGTCAGTTTCGACGTACCTGTTGTGGTGGTTTAATTGACATTTGAACTTGCTATCTGGATTATTGTAATTGTTTTATTTTTGTGAAATTTATAATTGTATGTAAGTTTTAATCGTTAATATAAACGTTTGTGATTTGTGGAACAAGTGGGTTTGTGAACTTGACTCTAATATTTCCCTCTCCACCCAAGAAAAGAATCCAGAAAGAAACTTTACTTTTCGTAGTCTTAAGAGTTTAAATCGAATGAAAAACGAAAATGTGTCGTTTTTTATTTTCAGTCAAATTCACAAACCAAATTGTTTCACAAATCACAAACGTTTATATTAACGATTAAAACTTATATACAGTTATGAATTTCATAAAAATAAAACAATAAAACAACGAAAGGACCTCGAGATGATGGCGGATCTTGTATGCTTTCAATCATTTTTTAGTTTCAAATGTAAAGTTTTTAAACAGTTAAGGGGGTCCCGATGGGCAGCCCAATGTCTGGCCTGCTCTGTGAGTTAGTGGTGAGAAAAATGGAGCGCTTTGCACTTATTAACTATAATGAAGACATAATCCTATACAAAACATACGTTGACGATGTGCTAATTGTATGGAAGAACGACACAAGGATACAACAATTCTTGAGCCAAATGAATTCCAACCAACATTGTTTAAAACTGAACCTAGAACAGATTAGTAGCAAAGAACTACATTTCTTGGACGTTAAAATTGAATTTAGGAATGGATCACTGTACACAAAGGTGTATATCAAGCCCACTCATGATCCGATATATATACCAGCGACATCTAATGATCCAACTGTTTATAAACTCTCTGCCTTTAGGGCGCTAATCAGAAGAGCGTTTCTGTATTGCTCCAACGTGATAGACACGATAGAGGAACTGAATAGA